AACTTTGTAGCCCTTCATCACAGCATGCTTCTGGCCAAATATCATCACCCTGTGCATTTTGGTTATTCAGAGGAAGTTGTTCAATGTTTTTCACATATTTGACCCCTGTGACCTTGAATATAGGTAAAGGTCATTCATTTCAACAAACTTGATAGCCCTTTACCCCAGCATACTACTGACTAAATATCAACATCCTGAGCCTTTTGGTTATTCAGAACAAGTTGTTAAAATATTTTGAACATATTTGCTCCTTGTGACCTTGAATATGATTCACGGTCATCCATTTAAACAAACTTGGTAGCCCTTGATCCTAGTATGCTACTGACTAAATATCAACACCCTGAGCGTTTTGGTTATTCAGAACAAGTTGTTAAAATATTTTGAACATATTTGCTCCTTGTGACCTTGAANACATATTTGACCCCTGTGACCTTGAATATAGGTGAAGGTCATTCATTTGAACAAACTTGACAGCTCTTTACCCCAGCATGCTACTGGGGAAATATCATCACCCTGTGCCTTTTAGTTATTCAGAAGAAGTTGTTTAATGTTTTTCACATATTTGACCCCTGTGACCTTGAATATAGGTTAAATTCATTCATTTGAACAAACTTGATAGCCCATTACCCCAGCATGTTACTGGACAAATATCATCACCCTGGGCATTTTGGTTATTCAGAAGAAGTTGTTTAAAGTTTTTTTAAGACAATTGACCCCTGTGACCTTGAATATAATTGAAGGTCATTCATTTGAACAAACTTGGTAGCCCTTCACCCAAGCATGCTACTGGCCACATATCATCTCCCTGGGCATTTTGGTTATTGTGAAGAGGTTGTTTAAAGTTTTTAACATATTTGACCCCTGTGACCTTGAAAATGGGTGAAGGTAATTAATTTAAACAAACTTTGTAGCCCTTCATCACAGCATGCTTCTGGCCAAATATCATCACCCTGTGCATTTTGGTTATTCAGAGGAAGTTGTTTAATGTTTTTCACATATTTGACCCCTGTGACCTTGAATATAGGTGAAGGTCATTTATTTCAACAAACTTGATAGCCCTTTACCCCAGCATGCTATTGGGGAAATATCATCACCCTGTGCATTTTAGTTATTCAGAAGATGTTGTTTAATGTTTTTCACATATTTGACCCCTGTGACCTTGAATATACGTTAAATTCATTCATTTGAACAGACTTGGTAGCCCTTCACCCAAGCATGCTACTGGCCAAATATCATCTCCCTGGGCATTTTGGTTATTCAGAAGAAGTTGTTTAAAGTTTTTAACATATTTGACCCCAGTGACCTTGAAAATGGGTGAAGGTAATTAATTTTAACAAACTTTGTAGCCCTTCATCTCAGTTTGCTTCTGGCCAAAAATCATCACCCTAGGCCTTTCGGTTATTAAGAAGAAGTCGTTTAAAGTAGAATATTGACGCCAGACGACGGACGACGGACGCTGCTCCACGGCATAATAAATATATCTTTGTTTTGTTGTTTTTGTTGTGTTTTTTATTTTAAAGAAAATATTTCGATATAATATGTTTTTATATTGGATGACACTTATGAATGATGAATTATAGAAAGATAACATCATTCAGGGATAACCTAAAATCAACTTCTTACCACAGCAAATTCCTCACGATCCAGGTAGCCATCTTTGTCTATGTCGCTCATGTCCCATATACGGCCCAGAATGTCAACCGGGAGCTTGGAATTCATCAGCACCTGAAATCAAGTTCAACACAAAATAAATGAAAAATCCTCAGTGATATCAACAAAACTTTTCTACTTAATTGATACTGGATACAAATTGTATGTAGGTAAATCATATATAACTATAAGGATAATGACCCACAGTACTGGGTTCACACTTTACATCTACTCTCATACCACGAAATGTTTGACCCCTGTTAGTCAATCATACATGGGTATGTGGGATATTGATATTCGACACGAGGGTGTAGTAGCATTTGGGTCAGAACCAATACTTTGCTGAGGATCTGACATCAAATTCTTCACCCGAGGGTAGAACTTCCATCTCTCAACTGAAAGTTTGGTAACAATACAACATAAACAATACAAAGGCAACATTTGATATATCAAATGTTCTGTATAACATATACACAAACTAAGAGCATAATAAAGTATAGTATAGTATACTTTGTATTCAAAGATCCATGCAAGACCTTCAGGGCAAGCTTGTGCAGTACTTTAGATTTTATGTTGCTGAGGTGGTGTTGCTTGCCGATGACAAGATTGTCACAGTCAATAGAACAATGTTTTGATGGGCTTTCAATGCATCGTGATGTCATGTACATTGTTGTCATCTGATTGTGACATCATAATAGAAAAGGTCACTGAATGCAGCCATGTGGGATACATGTATCCCACAAAAGTTTTTCACATGGGACACGTGGATCTTACATACATATAAGGTGGGAGATTATATCAGATTCTATATATATAGTGTATGTCCGGAAATGTTCGCAGCAGTTTAACTTTCGCCTTTCTGTCCCCAATGCGGGTGAATTTATCCTGACAGTAAATATATAAGTACACAACAATACAATATATTTAAATTACATGTGAATGGTGAAAATTAACACCATGCGAACATGGATTTTATCGGCAAAGGGTGAATATTTTACTGGGCGAGAGTTCCCCGGTACACATTATTCACAAACTACGAACTGTTGATATACTTACAGGTCTAACTTTCTCACCAGACAATAAGTTATTGACTGGCTGTAAGCTGTCAAACACCTGGTCATACTTGGTCTTCTCACTCGCCTGAAACACACCCAAATCTATATAAACCATATCTTTATGAAATTCACAAGCTTTCAAAACAGTTCAACTAAGTATGATAAAAAGTGAAAATTCTTCAAAAGTCTAGTCTATTCCATTTCATCATGGCTTGTTATTCATTTCCTTATCAAGCCGTAATCTAAACATATTGAAGTCGATATAAATTTGCAATTCAAAAATAAAGAAAGTATTCTGTTTGCCTTTCAGTTGATGTTAAAATCAGAAAGTGTGGAGCATCATGATAGGTGCCCATAATTGGCCTCATACAGTAGCCATTTCCTATTGACTTAATGAAAGGTGTGTAAGCCAAACTTGTAATAAACTACATTAGCATAGAGTAATTATATGACCTGTATTTCATTTATGAAATTACTTGATTCCCACAGACAACCATGGACAGTAAACAACTTACACTGAGAGCCCACTGCCCTGTTCCAGCAGCACTGTGGGATGGAGACTCGGAAACCACCTCTTCCACTGGCCCCTGTGTTCACACAAAAGAAAACACAATCTTTTATTAGACAGCAAGTTTTTCAAAAGTTCTGCTGACAACTAGAAATTGCTTTGGTGCCAATTGACGGCCTATTCCAGCCATTTACATAATTAATTTACCGGTACATAGTTTATTTTGCAAACCCGATGAAATATTCATCTTAATTGTTAAATCTTGAAGTAAATCAGTTCATAGTCATGCAAGATATTTGGATGGACCCTGTTTGCCCAAATTTATAAAAAGCCATAACTCAAAAATATTAGTTTGATTAAAGTGGCCATCAAGCATAAAATGACAAATTTAAGTCTTATAAAATTATAGTCGAATAATAGTGCTTTATCAAACTTGTCAGGGCTTGCGCTCACTTTCACTCTCTATGCCCATGGAATATGTCATAGCAAAATTGAAGGCACGAAGATAGCTGTTTGATTGGTCTCAGTTGAAAAACCCTGACCAAACGCTAGGCTGATACCTGTCCTTTGAAGATTACAAAGGAGAGATGCCCAACTTCAAAGCCTGCCAATTTTTACCTTTACGTGACCGCGAGATTCTTTTGCTGTACATCAAAGGATCGACCTAGTCTTCTTGTCTCATCAACAAGGTGGCGCACACCGAGCCTTCAATGTTGCTATGACATATTCCAGGGGTGCAGAGAACGAAAGTGAGCATAACCCCTGGATATCGAGGATGAAAGTATCTTGGCTCATACTAAAACCTAATGAACTTACCAGATTTGGAGCAGTGATGTCGGCAACGAGATTGGAAACATTTAGTTCTGAGTTGTTTTGGGCCATTGATACAAACTTGATAGCCGAAAAGAAACCAACCTTCTCCAAATAACCCTTTCCTGTTGGGTCTGATAAATCCCATATCTACGTAGATAAAAGTTCATATGATACATATATACATATATGTAAGAGACTCTTACAAGTTTTAGGTAATCAAAACATATTTTTTTTCAGTGTGATCTTGACTTTCTGTTGTTGGCTCTTTTTTTTTTTAAGTCGTTTGAGTAACAGTTAAAACGTCTAAACCCTTCAAAGGCATAAGAGGCTGTCAGAAAACATAGATACAAGTATGTACCATATTGTCAACAGTATTGTGTTAAGTAGCAACTTCATTCTCTACGATGATAATGTCTTTCAATGTATCTGTATATTTCTAAATCCACATGTCAACGTTAAAATTTTATTCAGTGGAGTTTAGAAAGCTGCTAGAGTGATGACAAAGATTTACTACTCATAAATAGTGATTTTGAATGTTACATCCTGAAGCACAAACTTGTTTGAGGTATTCTCATATCTAACCACACATTGTTGATCAAATTTACACTCAGAATTAAGTTGTTAGCGAGACGGCAAAAGATTTGCTATAAATACTTGTTGTGGCTTTGACCATAGGGTCTTGAAACACAAAACTTCTTTTAAAATATTTTCTACATGAGCTACTGTAAAAAGTATATACAATGCTTTAACACTTTTGTATACCTAATTAAACTGAAATATTTTTTACTAATTGTGACCTAAGCACACATCACCTGTATTGCATATTTTTTTTTATAGCAACATACTTCTACTTCTACTTCTTAATGGTACTGACCAACTTCAACAATTTGAAGATAAAATGTCAGACGAGGAGTGAAACATGGAAAGAGATTGTTTTTAAAAAAATACGAGATGGTCTAATTTGCGTTTGAAAGGTGACGGTAGAGGGCTGATTTGAATAATTCCGTTGTGGGCCTTGAAATAATGTCAGGTGGGAGTTTATTCCACTCGGGTATAGTTCGAGGGAAGAATGATGCCTTTCTGGTCTGGGTTTTTGAGTGGGGAATTTGATACGAAAACTGGTGATTTGTTCTGGATTTTCTAACTGTAGGGATTAATCTGTCTGATTTTACGATAGCGACTTTCTGGTTTACAATGTTATGAAGCATGGTCAGACGAGCATCTCTACGTCTATCTGCTAGAGGGCGCAGCTTTAGGTGGTCTGACACACTGGAGGTTCGATGGTTGTACCTGTGCTTATTGAGCACATGGCGCGCTGTCCTTCGCTGGACCATTTCCAACTTGTCAGTATTTGTTTGGGTGTGAGGGTCCCATACTGTACAGGCATACTCAAGTGATGGTCAAACTAGCGATTTGTATGCCTGTACTTTGGCTGATGTTGAGCCAATTTTAAGATTTCGTCTTCAAAAGACTAGCGTAGAACATACAGTCGCATAAACAACATAAATACCTGTGATAGGACTGTATCTTTGAGGCCCGACTTTTTCAGAAAGGATGCTGCGTCCAAAGCGCCAATGCTTCCCGTTCCATTGGGATCTGCCTGAAAATTCATAATATATGTACACTTCATATTGCTCTATAATGATGCTAATACAATGTAATATAAATTACACTTAATTCAGGTATCATTAAAAGTCTACAAAAATGACAATGGATGTTATAGCAGTGTTAGAATACTATGATGTTTGTAGATATTTTTTGTAGAAAACCAAAATTTTCATGAATTATCAACATCAATAACCGTAAAAAAAATCTACTCTCGCAATTGAGACTTTTTATTATCTTCATAATAAAAAAAATGCCATTATTCATCAGTACAACAAGATTTTTTTCTTTATATTAAACATATTTAAAAGGTTTGAACAGGAATTTTACTACATGATTCATAGGTCTAAGAAACTCCAGGTTTTTTAGGGCACTTTTTTAAGTAAAAGTAAAGCCTGAGGTTAAAATTTCCCACCATTTGCATTTTCTCAAAATACTAAGATCTGGATATGTAACTTGCATGTCTCTTAACTCACCAGTAATGATGTGACAACATAATCATAGCAATATTTGCCCCCAAAGACACAACTATTTACACCCAGATTCGGGTAGCCCCTTGCTAAGTCTATACCAGTGACCCAACGCATGAAACTTGGGTTATAAATTAGCTTCCCAATTTTGTAACAGGAGAAGGAGAAATGCAATGGCCAGACTGGTTTTCGAACCAGGGACCTCCAAAGTATAGACGGACGCTCTACTGATTGAGTTACCTGGTTGTCGCGAATCTACCCAGTTCTGCTACACATCTTATTTCACATTGAAACATTCATGGATACAATGAACAGAAATGTATACTAGACATAAAAAATAAGCAGTACAATATATATTATAGAGGAGTTGTAACTCAAATATGGATAGAAATATGATTTTAAAAACCTAACCATCAATATATGAGATATCTAAATTGCAAACTGTGCCAATCATAGGTACATTTTATGGGACAGACCATCAGGTGGTGTAATATTTTTTCATAAATATATGAATTATGTGAGGATGAAGTCTTTACTTAAATGAACATAACCATTATTCAAGTTACAAAAATATATAAAAAAAAAAAGGAATATGTGTAAAATATATACCTGTTTATAATAACCTTCATAAATACCCATATGAGCACCAGCAATCTGAAAAATAAGTATAAATTTATTATATATTGGATCAATGATTTCCGCTCATGTCCATATAAATTAAACGGTTTTACTAGCAGTTAACAGTTGTTATAACACAACTAATTTTACCACAGTATATTATATACGGTGAGTTTATATGGTATGGGCTGTTATGGTAAAGTGTTTCAAAACGAAAACAGAGGGGAGGGGCAATCTGTCAGTTATCTTATTATCCTCCTGGAATAGATTTGCAACGTCAACAGTTTAAGTTGAAACAATGAAATGTGTTACAGTTGTCATAAATATGAACAGAAAATCACTACATAATTTCCGTGAAACAGGCTAATGAAACACACACACAAACTGTAAAATATAAGAACACCTCTCAACGTTGAACCGTCTGCTAACATTTCCTATTTTGACAGCAGGGTCATATCATGCCAAATAATTCGGATATTTGTATAGCAAAGCAAGAAGCCTTTAACATGTTATGCAAATATATAAATATATGCATTATTTCTGTGTATTTGCATTAACTACAACTCAATCATTCGTACACTTATTGAGAATTTGAGGAAATACACATCACAAACCTGTGCCAGCGGTGGAAAGGCCGCCATTGTAAACCGGAACTGATCCGCGGTAAAGTACAAGGTCGAATTCTATTGGTCAAACCTTTAATTCAAGAAATATCTATGTAGCGGGAATGTTTAAAATAAGAATAATATATTATAGACAAATTTCATGTTTTTGTCTTTCATTTTATCTTATCTCCTCATTTTCATTTGAAAAAATAAAATTGCCTTAATCCACTGTAACGCTTGACAGTGCACAAGTTCACTTGCTGATATGCTTTGCTTTGGACCCTCCTCTTATACCACAGGGACCTGATAATTTGTTACAGCTATATTTGGACCTAAACTAAGGTGTTTCGAGTAATTTTACACGTTTGGGGGGTTTTGATCAATATTCCGTGACATTTTACCGAAATTTGATATAACCCCTCAAAAAAACGTGTAGAATTACTCTAAACACCATATTTAGTATAGGTCCAAATATAGCTGTAACAAATTATCAGGTCCCTGTGACTTATGCCTATTTAAGCACTTTCATTTTAGGTGAAATGTGACACACAATGAGAAAATGAGAATGCTAACTGTACCAGAGACGTATTCTAAACTGGCATTTCTATACTGGTTTATGTCGTTTCTTAGATTTTCAAGTTATAAATGATTACTAGTTAATTGGTCAACATAATTTTAACTTCAAAACCCTACAATGTGTCCTATGGGACTGACATCAGCAATAACTATAATTAATGTGGATATTTACAAAAAGGGATAGCACGCGCTGAATAATCCTCAGGGTAGCTGTGTGCAAAATTTCATTAAAGTGTGACGATTACTAAACGACGCCAGGAAAAAATTTCTGAATAATACTGTACACAAATCTAAAAGATTGTATATTTACGTTGTGTTTATTTAACTACCAAATTAAACTTCTAGAAGTGGAGAATTCAAACCGTACGCCTCGTGTGAAGGATTCTCAGACTGCTGGGGAAAAAAGTCAATCATTCAACTTATCTTGCTGCCGTTGTCTTTCCTTGATGCAATTCATTCTAGTTCTGGTAGATGGCGCGAGAGAAAACGAAAACAACGTTTGAATTATTTGCCCAATCTTGTTTTTGTCCTTCTTTCTGATGTCTCCTGGAATTTTGGTGCTACATGTGGGGAACTTCAAATAGGCCGTGCTGTATTTTGTAGAATATAAAAGGCTCCAATATTCAATGTGTTCCAGTTATAAATATAGTTGATAATCGTGGTGACTACCTTAGATTTATCAATCACTAGCTACCAATGCGGCAAAACTGGCCTTCGAATAGTTGCAGTGGTATAATACATTATTTTTTACGTAAGCTTAAATCTTGATACAGTTCACATCTGTTAATGTCATAAATCGTTATCTGATACCATACACACAGATAGGTCTACTTCATGTATTGTTTTCCTTCTTTTCCCCGTGTAAGTCTATATCGTGTAATCTTACTCCAATCTTTCAGTGTAAGTGGGCTGCTGGGCGGTCCGTCAAACCTTGATCGGATTATGTTTGTTAGGGCCGGTTTCACATCCGCTAACTTAGACTATCTGTTTCCTGTTTATCCATTTTAATAGCAAAATAAATGAAAACAAAGTATATTTGTTTTCATAAATTCGCGAACTTATACATATCATTTTAGTTTTGAGAAAATTAGTTGGATACTTGAATCGCGTAGGACTACAAGTCGGTAGCATTTTTTCACGTTCAGTAAGCTTCCTGATATTTTTAATCCTTTTCCCGTCATGCTAAAACAACGGGAAATGAAATACTTATGAAGCGACATTTTTTCACGTTAATTTAATAAGCTTCCCGATATTTTTCAACCCCAAGGAATAAAATATTTATGAAACAACTAGCACACATAACGTTATCATCATACATAGCTTATTGTCGTATTTCTGCCATCATGAAATTTTGTAAAATATATTGTTGTACAGGGAAAGGGCTTGATATAAGTTGTACAACTTGTGCCCAATTCCATTGCTAGTTGAAAAAGGCAATAAAATATGTTTAAATAAAAAAATAACGTGATAACCTTTTTTGTATGAAAAGACATTTTAGAGGTTATATTGAATTTTAGTCTCGCTCTGAAGTGGTTCGACATCACGTGCGCTTAAATCATACAGTATAATGAAACAATGATATCAAATGTTATGCTCTTGTCGCGGATCGAAAATACTATGTTTATAAATATTTGTTATTAAGACATCGTGGCTCTCTTGTACTTTCAATGTTGAGAAAAAAATATTTACTACCAAATCAAACAATTATCTTAAAATAGATGAACGCGCTAGGTAAAGTTTGAGTAATACAATTGAAAATACCTATCAAACAAATGATAAATCACAGAGAAACTCCAGAAAATCCACCACTAAAAATGACACTGTAATATATATACTCTGACCAGCTGAAGTCCCAACTCAGATTTGAGGTCACGCTTGTAGTAGTGTTATCACCATCTATACATGTGTATGTGGCTACGGAAGCTCAAATGTGCAACTAAACGTCACTGTAACACGCTATTGAGAATCACTATTGACGCAAAATTAAGTGTTTATTGGCTTCAGTTGTAAAACAAACTAGCCCTTGTATAATGTTTAACTAGACCTAGTATTTATCGGAAATGTACCAGCATTAGGTGTACTTCTTCAATGTACCAGCAAGTATAACGTGTTTTTTCTGCAACGACGTGCCAGTATAACACGTATATCCACAATGTACCAGTATAACGTGTAATTTTTACTGCTATGTACCAGTACTATGTGTATTTCTGCAATGTACCAGTGTAGGTGTTATGTGTAATTTTTGCAATATACCAGTGATGCGTATTTATCTGCAATGTACAAGTGTTACGCATATTTCTGAAATGTACCAGTATAATAGGTATATCCACAATGTACCAGTACTTCGTGTACTTCTGCAATGTACAAATACTACGTGTATATCTGCACTGTACCTGTATTTCTGCAATGTACCAATGTAACGCATATTTCTGCAATGTACCAGTGTTACGTATATTTCTGCAATGTACCAGTGTTACGTGTGTATCTGCAGTGTACCAGTGTTACGCATATTTCTGCAATGTACCAGTGTTACGTGTATATCTGCAATGTACCAGTATTATGTGTCTGCAATGTACCAGTATTACGTGTATTTCTGCAATGTAACAGTGTTATATGTTTATCTGCAATGTACCAGTGTTACGCATTTTTCTGCAATGTACGAGTGTTACGTGTTTATCTGCATGTAATGTACCAGTGTAACGTGTACTTCTGCAATGTACCGATGTTTCGGCTATTTCTGCAGTGTACCAGTAAAACGTGTATATCTGCAATGCACCAGTGTCATATATTATGTGTATTTTTTGCAATGTACCAGTGTTACATGTTTATCAGCAATGTACCAGTGTTACACATTTTTCTGCAATGTAGCAGCGTTACATGTTGATCAGCAATGTACCAGTGTTACATGTTTATCAGCAATGTACCAGTGTTACACATTTTTCTGCAATGTAGCAGCGTTACATGTTGATCAGCAATGTACCAGTGTTACATGTTTATCAGCAATGTACCAGTGTTACACATTTTTCTGCAATGTAGCAGCGTTACATGTTGATCAGCAATGTACCAGTGTTACATGTTTATCAGCAATGTACCAGTGTTACACATTTTTCTGCAATGTAGCAGCGTTACATGTTGATCAGCAATGTACCAGTGTTACATGTTTATCAGCAATGTACCAGTGTTACACATTTTTCTGCAATGTACCAGCGTTACATGTTGATCAGCAATGTACCAGTGTTACACATATTGCTGCAATGTACCAGTGTTCATGTACTTCTGCAATGTACCAGCAAGTATAACGTGTTTTTTCTGCAATGACGTGCCAGTATAACACGTATATTCACAATGTACCAGAATAACGTGTAATTTTTCTGCTATGTACCAGTACTATGTGTATTTCTGCAATGTACCAGTGTAGGTGTTATGTGTAATTTTTGCAATATACCAGTGATGCGTATTTATCTGCAATGTACAAGTGTTACGCATATTTTTGAAATGTACCAGTATAATGGGTATATCCACAATGTACCAGTACTTTGTGTACTTCTGCAATGTACAAATACTACGTGTATATCTGCACTGTACCTGTTTTACGTGTATTTCTGCAATGTACCAATGTAACGCATATTTCTGCAATGTACCAGTGTTACGTATATTTATGCAATGTACCAGTGTTACGTGTGTATCTGCAATGTACCAGTGTTACGTGTGTATCTGCAATGTACCAGTGTTACGCATATTTCTGAAATGTACTAGTGTAACGTGTTTATCTGCAATGTGCTAGTGTTACGTGTGTATCTGCAATGTACCAGTGTTACGTGTATATCTGCAATGTACCAGTATTACTGCAATGTAACAGTGTTATATGTTTATCAGCAATGTACCAGTGTTACGTGCATTTCTGCAATGTACCAGTGTTACGTGTTTATCAGCAATGTACCAGTGTAACACATTTTTCTGCAATGTATCAGTGTTACACATTTATCAGCAATCTACCAGTGTTACATGTTTATCAGCAATGTACCAGTGTTTATTGTTTATCAGCAATGTACCAGTGTTACGTGCATTTCCGCAATGTACCAGTGTTACACATTTTATTTTTCTGCAATGTACCAGTGTTACATGTACTTCTGCAATGTACCAGTGTTACACATTTTTCTGCAATGTACAAGTGTTACACATATGTCTGCAATGTACCAGTGTTACAAGTGTATCTGCAATGTACCAGTGTTACATGTATTTTTGCAATGTACAAGTGTTACATATATTTCTGCAATGTACCAGTGTTACATGCGTATCTGCAATGCACCAGTGTTACGCATATTTCTGCAATGTACCAGTGTTACGTGGAATTTACCAATTCACCAGTGTTACGCATATTTCTGCAATGTACCAGTATCAGGATCTGAAGATTCTACAGAAAGGTCGACACGACAGTCATTTGTGTTTGACGACAACATCGACTTTTGAGTACCGGGAACTACATCATAATATATATAGGATCTTATATAAGTTTCATATTCATATGAGATTTATGAAATGAGTCTTTGAAGTTTTCAATTTAGCGAGCCCATGGCGAGCTAAAATGAAAAATTTGTGACGATTTTCATAAATCTCATATGAAATGATAACGAGTGGAAGATCCTTTTTTATCATATGATCAAGATTTGTGGCATTGATTCGTGTAAAACTACAATTTTCATGCAACCTTGAAATATAAAAAACCGTCATTCTGACTCAAGTGTGTAAGTCTGTGACTTCATGTACTTGTCCTAGGCGTGACGTCACAATTGAAACAAGAGCTAACAATTGAAACTTACAACCAATCACAGGGCTGATAGGTCATATTACATGGGTTAAAACGCAAAAACTATGACATGGGTTCATGTGAAAAAATCATAACACAACAATCAATAACATACAGATAAATTTTATTTCGAAAACAAAAAGTAAGATGATAAAAGTGTAACAACAGAAGGCGTAAAACCTTGCTGTAACACATACTATTGCCCCAGTTAACACCATTAAGACGATCTGCGTAGTAGAAACAGGAAATACAAAGATTGCAATGTTGACCACGCCTCTGTAGGTCGTTACGTTAACTTAAATTGGGCATGTTTGTCATCCACAACATCAAGAATGAAAGAAGACTAGAAAAGACAGAATAAAATGCTTGGATCAAACATACGTAGCCATATTCATTGATACAATCACTGATAGAGAAAATAAAAGATCTGACTATCTAAGTAAATTCACTTTTAAGTACACAAAATACAGAATTTGAAACACTGCTACATAAATACGTTGTCAGTATATTTTTATTATTATTATTGAAATGGTTAATAATTACATTTACAAAGAATTCTCTTTTAAATAGCTACAGTTGTACAAAGAATATAATTGTCAATTTCCCTTTTCTCTTTTTGAAATTTACAATATACTGTAACTCAAATGAAAACTACATGACAAAGGTGAAAATTACATTTATAAAGAATTGCATGAGAGTTACAATTCTTGACTTTTACAGTAGCATTATTAAGACTTTCAAATAGAGAGCAAGATATAAAAAAAGGCATGGAGTAAAATGTGTTCATTATCATCAACAATTGTACAAAATGTGAACCATTTCAGATAAAAAAAGAAGTATTTAAGAACGTTGGGGAGGAATGATTTATCAGGATGTGTAACAAGTTGAAATAATAACAGTTGACCTGCAGTGAATGTTTCTGATTTCGTGTAAAACAAAACATCTTCAGCGCCATTGTAGTTGACTGTAAAAAAATGTTGTACATAAAATAATTTACGCTCTGAAATAATAGTTACATATACACATATATTACATTAAAAAGCATAGAATATTTACACAATATCTTGTCTTGGACAAGACAAAAACATGTAGGAAAGCTTACAGATAAGTGAAGTATACACCAACTTATATTTATTGCTAGGATATACTTTAATAGTCTTAAGGCACATTTGTATGAGTTTTTACCTCTTTTACATCTTGTTCAAATTTTGTTAATAAACAAAACATGATATCAACTGCTCAAAACTAAGAATGAACTTTGAAATATTCGCACTGAATCAAAACATCACAAAAGACAACAAAGTTCTTCTTATATATTGGTTTATAAATATGATTGAGAAAAATACATTTTCAAACTAACCAAATAAGTTTAATATGAGAAAATGTTGTCATCAAAGAAGAACAAATCTTTAAAAAACTATTTGGAAATCTTGTTAAAAACTAATACAATCTAGTACTTAAAAAAGTGATTTATTGACAACAATGAGAATAAAAAAATAATTGAAAAAAAATAATTGCAAAGATATTCAACATCAATCTATGCAAACTAAGTTCATACATATTAGCTTATGGAAATTTTGATATCACCGATCTGACAAATTCCTGTGGAGAACTAGACAATTTACTAGATGTACTGTACAGAATACTTACATTTTAGTTTACAACTATGTACAAACTATACAAAGACCTATCAAACACCGGAATAACTTACACCAATATGAGTTGCACAGAAATCAATATCCAACTGAACTTTTTAACCAGAACAATAAACAATCATTTGTCAGTGGTTAATAATAAAATTGTTGGTAAATTATAAGTAACTTTCAACTAATTTAATATGGATTTTTTTTTATCATAATGGAAATTAAATTTTGTTAATCAAAACGTTTTTTTGTTGTTGCTGTCTTTTTGTGTAATTCCCATATCGTTAAATACAACCGAGTCCGTAGTGTAGGTTACTAAACTTAAGGAGGAAGTTGCCAAGGTACATGGTAATATGTCTTTGGTGAAGGTTTGTAACATTTTGATTAACTTGCAATTGGTCACTAATGAGTGGAGTACCAAATATACACTATATTACAATATTTGAGTATAGTACAATATGTAAAAATCACCCTCTGCAAGCCTCTCTTCAGTCTCTGTCAGACTCATCATAGTACGGAGTATGTTGTGCCCGAGTACACACTACACAACATTTACGGACTATTCTCCAATCATACTTTTAAGTGTGTTGAGAATGAGTACAGTGACTGTACAGTTAGAGACTCAGAGCCCATGAAGCTTCTACAGGGATAATACCGGGAACGACAGCCTGAATACAATGAGTCAGAGCCAACTAAGAATCATCTGGCAGTGACCCTAAATGTTGAAGCGGGCATGCAACATCTTTATGGGGTTTCATCTGTAACATCAGTCGGAATACAATGACACTAGTTGAAGCCCAAACAGCTTCATCTGGTTTCACACCAGTATAGCAGTCTGAATAAAGTGACACTACAGTCGTAGCCCACACAGCTGCATCAGGAAGTAACGGTCTTTTGTTGGTAGCCCAAGGGTTTTGCCAGTAATGACAGTCTATATAGTTGAAATCCACACAGCCTCGTTAAGGGTATTGCAAGTAACAGCAGTCTGAATAACACCACTCTATAGTCGGAGCCCACGTAGCTTCATCAGGGGTTTTGCCAATAAGGGCTGCTTGATCTTCGGCTTCTGCGGGAAGACATCCAACTCACTCTCTTCGTTGGGAAATCTGTGACCATAGATCTCCGGATAGGTTTTCTGGAACTGCAACAATGTTAACATTAGCAATGGTACAGACATAAACAAATTTTAAAAGAAAATGTTAATTTCTTCAGCATATGCATGGAAATAGCATCATTTTATAGCTATCAAAGCATATGAAATTTTCAATTTATAATCCCCCCAATAGTACATGGATAAAAAAGATTTCATAATTTTCTTTCATGCTCTTGAAAAACTTCTAACCTGGTTATATATTTCTTGTAACTTAGATTAATTAACTAAAAAGTAAAACACCGTTCTCACCTGTTTGAGACGTTTACGTTTGTCCTTGACGGCCATTGTTTTGTCCTTGATGATATCCTCTAGAAGGTCAGCCAGTGCTCTCTGGGAATTACTGAGACGCTGAGTCTCGTACTGGTTGACGGACACCTGATTGCAATAATGGAATGACGAAGCATCGTCGAATGAGTACACAATCTGAAATTGCCAAGAGGTGAAGCAGCCACCCGTGAGGAAAGCCGAAGCCAAGTCGGACAGAACACGCCCCCCTGTTGGCATAGCAACAAACCAATCTCCACAGACCTTTATCAAGTTAGTGCTGTTTTTGACAGAGTGTTTATGTAGTGTGTGTGAATAAGCAAACAGTCAGCTAGGTTTCTGTTAAAGACTGTGTACTTGACATTGTGTATGTTAGACCGAGATACTGACTGTAAATAATAGAAAAGTTTTATTGTCTTCAACAAAAGCAGACTTGTTTTACATTCAGATAAATTTACATATATATATGCATCACATGAAGTTAAAAATTTAACATCTAAATCTGCCTGCAGTTAAAGTGTTCTATCTTATAATTTTTTTAAAACTTTTATTTTGCACATGCAGTGAAAAGAGGTACAACAACATTCAACAGAACCTGTTTTTTTTTTTTATAAAAATCACAATGAAATTGTCAATCATCTTAAAGTAACGTGTAATGGTTGTGTGATCTTTACTGTGAACTATTATTACTTCTTGTACTGTATTACTGAGTTTTTTGGGGAACCCATATAGGGGAGGCTACCAAACTTTTGTCAAATTATACTGAATTTCACTCTTCTTGGACTGCTTTTCTGTTTAAGTATGCCTGTTATCATATGGGTGATGAAAACCGTCACCTGTATAAAACTATCAGTAACTACTTAGTAGATTTAATTGAAATTAAACTTATTAACTTAATAAGATTGAATTTATACAGAAGTGAAGATGTCTGGTTGTGAAGATTGGTCTGTGTTTCTGATGCCCATGTAAGGTTGGACAAATAAGTTTTAAACAAATCTTTTATTTTTTTCTTGATTTTATATTTGGATTCCAATGCTCACTGTAGTAATAGGAAAATATATTGATGTTGTATATCAAATTATTTCTTCAGTATTCATCTACCAATTATCTAAATGTTAATCCCCCCTCTTTTTTTCTATAGACTTACAAATCGTCCCATATATAGTCATAATTCTAATTGTTCTAATTGACTGGCATATGTTTTGTTCAGTTGAAAGAAGCTTTAAAGATGTCCAGAAAACGCCTTGCTTATCACATATTTGTCCAACACAACACAGTGCCTGGGTGCTCAAATGATGTCTGCCCGACTCTTTGATGAATGGAAACAAAACAAACTGAAACGTTTTAGTAACATTTGTTATTTGAAATGGACAAAAGGTGAAGAAGTCAGCTGCAGTGTTCAAAACAAAACTAAAAGAACACAAATGCAAATGCCAATTAAACAAAAGTCAAAACAAAGCTTTGCACAGCTGAGGAACTAGGCCTAGCAATTCTAGAAAAGGAATAATTCCAGGCAAAATCCATTTGAGCATGCCCAATCTTTTACCAGTAATAGGTAGCATAGTAGCAGAAATAGCAGAGTGCATAGCATGGCGCAAAGCCGTGAAGTACATAAATATGTATACATATTATAATTGTATAAAGGTTAAATATGTATATATAAGCAAAGCATTTAATCACCATGCTGGCCATGTTTACTGATATTGGTTAATGCTGATAATAATTCAACAATATATTGATAAAATGTAATATCAGTTAGCTATTAACTTTTTCTACAGCATGAAATTGTTACTGTATTGAAAAGGCTGACAACATGTTTATACTGATGCCATGCTTAATACAAAGTTAAGCTGATATTATTCATTTATGTAAATAAGAGTTCCGACATCAAATATCAAAATATGATAAAGATTTAATCTAATATTTCTGGCAATCATAATAATCTAACAATGCTATCACTTAAATTAAATCAACATGATTAAGAAAAGCCATGAACAGTTGAGTTTATGTCAGATTCACAACATAAAATGTAGTTTCCCTTCTCACACTTTTTTTCTGTGTGTAATTTGGAAGGAAATTTCTTCTGTTCTAGAAATGTATTTTTTCTATACAGACACCTAATTTAAGTGATTTTTCAACAAAAATCTTAAAAGTTCCAAAAATAAAACAGATCTAGTAGTTGCATTTTTTAGTGAGTCAGTCGGGAAACCAAAGCAACTATTTTTAAAGCCTTTTATACATTTTTTCACAAACAGTACCGATATCACTGTAGCATAATATTGAAGGAGTTTTGCTCCATTTTAAATCTGCAGGGTATATGTCCCCCCCCCCCCCCCCCCCAGAAATGATTTATTGAGGCTATACTCATGCCAGAAAAAAACCTTTCAATTGCATATTTACAGCTTTTAAGAGTAGAACAGGGACCCTTTATCCTTTCACCCCTATGTAACTTTAGTAGACTCAGCCATGCATTGATACGGATGAGTCAATCATGGTCTACAGTGGTGAAAGGGTTAATGGACGTAGGAGTTCAAGAGATTAAAATATTATCAGAATACTATAAATATATAGATCTTTAAGATAAGAATAATATGCTTTGGCTATATGGTTAAGTATAATACATTCAGCGACCCATATATTCCAGAAGTCAGGTTATAAATTGGTTATATATATGTGAGTACAGAGATATAAGGCTACTATGCTGTATAGCATACACATTCTATACTTAGACCATCACACATGCTATACCTGAGCCTTATGTTTGGAGTCTATTGTCAGCCTCTGCTCCACAGCGTCCTTCAGATCGACTGGCACAGCCATGATTTCTGCACAGTTGTCGACCAGGAAGGAGATAATCTTGACCACGAGGAGGTCTTCCATGTCAGCCTCGTCCTGACTACACAGCACGGAACGGTAAAATGTCTCCATCAACTGGAAAATACACCAAAATAGGTAAGCTCTAAACAACACAGAGCGGTAAAATGTCTGGGAAACACATAAAAATCCCTAAATGTCACCTTGGGAATATACTATATATATAGGAACACCAGGTTTACATTAAAATTTTATCAGGACAAAGCAGATCAATGTAAAGTTACTGACAAAATTCTGTTGAAGTAATATTTAACCTAGGTAACTATATTGCTATGTTTTAAGAGTTGTAGAAGCTATTTCAAGAAAGAAGATCAAATTAAAAGGGTGATGAAACATGTTACCGTAATGTAAACCATTCTGACTTGCTCTCAACATTTTGTAAATAATAGAAACTGTGTTTCTGCAAAGAGTTACAAATTCCTGATATTTCTCCACGCTCCAATTATTGCTATTTTAATCCTTTCATCCCTATGTAACTTTAGTAGACTCTACCATGCATTGATCTGGATGTGTCCATAATGGTCTACAGTGGGGAAAAGGTTAAAAGGAAAAGCTGCCTAACATTTCGTATCTAGAATAACCCTTACAACAATACCAAGTCTTACGAATATTCAGTGGTTGATTTTATTGTACAAATACAAGATAATACATTATCTACTTCTCATGAGTATGAGTATATACAAAATCAGCAGATGAGAAAAGAGACGGAGTGAATTCACTAAAATGCATGAATATATTCAAGCTATACTTACCAGTGACCGTGTGGATTTATTGTCGTCTAGTTGGAGTTTAGGGTTTTCCACCATCTTGGACATGAGTTTAATGAGAAGCTGTAGTTTACGCCTGTTGGCTGGAGGCAGTAGTAGACACACCGTTTGTAGGGCAAGCTTCTTCCTTTCGTTCATCTCCATACTTAAGGAACCTACAATGGATCCAAGTTGTATAGAAAAGTGAACTCTTGCATCAATTTAAGATATTCAACTCACAGTAAGAACGGATACTGTTGATCAACATTGATGAAGTTTGTATTTTATCATGAACAACATGTTTGTCAGTCCTCACTCTTTACAGTCTAAAACTTTATCATAAACTATTTTTTACCGATTTCATGCTAGTCTACCCACGAAATATGAATGGTGAGATGCTGTAACATGTAGTTTTGTGTTTTGTATCAAAGAATAAATAAGTGACGAAATGAAATTTGAACACTATTAAGTAGACGATTTACACTGTTGAAACCAATATCTTACTTCGAGGTATCCGAGATTTTGATTTTTGAGGGTTCGAAATTAACAGAGTTTTATTTACTACGAGTTTTGAGGGTTTCAAATTATCAGTGTTTTATTTATTAAGATAAAGAACAGATTTGGCCAGACTGGAGAAATACCTTGAGATAAACGGGGTCTTAGTTCGAGTTATAAGAGTTCGAGATAACGAGGTTCAACTGTATTTAGAATGATTTAACACCGTGAAACCTGATTGTTCTTTCTTTACAAATATTGTTAACTTCTAGTAGATTTTCATTAGTATAAACGCGTTCACTTATCTAAAAATTCCACTGTCTCAATGTCTGTGCATGTTGGTTTTCAGAAAGTCAAATCAGTTAAATTGCTTCACTAGTACTTCGTATGTGGTTCCACAGAGAGAAACTTTTTATTTCAGACAGTTTAACTATTTTAAACCATTTTCTTGACATTTAAAAGGTTCTTTTCTACGAATCAGATATAGATCTAGCTACACTCTTGTTATACATTTCTCTATATGGTATTTGATAAGCTCACCACATTGGGACATAAGAAAACAGTATTACGCACTAATTATATATATAAGATCTGTGTGTGTCAAAATACCTATCTACTAGTATATATATGTTTTGCTATCCTTTTATAAAGCTACTTTTCCTAATAGGCTACCTGTAGAGCTCCGTGTCCTTTTCATACGTTTCTGTCCTTTGTCCATGTCAGCATGCATGAGGTCAGACAAACTGAGGCTGCGACCAACCAGTGATTCTTTACTCTGGGCTCGACGCGGGTGGAACTGCTCCGGGTAAGCTGCCTCTGACCGCATATGATCCGAGTCATAATTGGAAGAGTTTATAGATGATGATGACTTAATCCGATGCAAAGACATGTTTGACTTTGAACGATGGCACTTACGAAGCAGTTTTGTAGCACCGTCTAGCACTGGTTGATGCCCGTTAGGGAACAGTGAACTATAGTGAGGCGGGGACCGTGTTGGCACATTACCCTTCCTTACTTTAGACTCAGATCTATCACAATTGTTACTCAGCTCATTAGCAGATATGTTTCCTGTGCTCAGCGACTGACTCCTTCCTGAATCATCACTTACAGGGCTCCCTATATAATATGAACAACTTTTCCGCCTGCTATAGTCTCTGCTTTTAGATACGAGTTCGCCGCTTGATTTCCGTCGAGGTCTGGTAGACTTGACTTTGGCATAGTGAACCGTGTAGGAAGATTGGCACTTTTCCGACATTGGAAGTAGATTGTTGTAGCTGTCTGACATTTCAAAGTGAGTTTCTAGGGGAGTCTTGGACAGGTCATCGGGGCCGTTACTGTAACCAAAGTCTGTAGATACCCCATCCTTGTAGTACACACGCGTTATAGTTCTGTTCTCAGGTCCAAAGGCTGTCTCGTACTTAGCCACGGGAATGTTTGCGGTGGACTCACAGCGTCGAAGACGACCAATCTGAAAGCTGTCCTGCATGGGCTGTATTGGAGACAGGTCCAGTGTTGACCGACTGATCAAACGGGACATATGGGCATGAGACTCGGGCGTGGACCTGTTATAGCATTTCCCACTCTCTCCTACATTAGTTAAATCCAGCATAAGATTTTCTACAGACTCAAACGATGTGAGACATTCTGGGTTAGTGTTGTATTCCTCCTCTGAGCACTGTTCATGGCATGTTCCCTCTGCTGTAACTGTAAAAGACAATTAAACGTTAGTTGAGGTTTCAAAACCAACAAGTCAGAGGCCAAGTAAAATAAATGGGTATAACCCTAACTACCCTCAATTGTTGTGCCTACCCTTAAGTTTTTAATAGCACATAATGATATGCACTGTTAAAGTCAGAACTCTTACGCTATATAAACATAGTAAAAATATTTTATGAAATAGAAATCTGCCCACCTACCTACGTTTTTTTTCTGAGGACAATAGTGAAAACACAAGTGATATTTCTAAGTTCAAATGTTCAAGTTGGATTTAGGATAAAAAACATTTGTCAAGTTCTACTTTTGTGCACTGTTGAGAGCAGAATATTGGAAAAACATATTTCTCTAGTCAGCATGGGAAACTAGTTAATCACCACATAAATCAAACAACTGAGCTTTACAAATAACACATGGTTGGAAATCTTACCAAACACGTTGGTGACTACTTCATACATCTCGTATGTCATCAGGGGTTCGGACATCCCACAGAAATAGTCCTTCACTACACGATACACATCGCGCTCAAACCCTTGATACGTCGGCAGATTGTCGTCTGTTCTCTCTGGCCCTGTAACAATATAGAAGATAGCTTCTTATATATCTGAAGGACAGGGTGTAAGAAAGTCGACCCTAATTAAGTTATTAGACAGTAAAAAAAAAATGGAACAATTTGTGACTTATAGAAATCTCACAATTACATAGTACAGATAAATCAATATTGGAACAGAAATTAACACATGTCAAATAATTAAAAGGATAATTTGTTTTAGAATAAGAAATCCTGGCATTATTGCGATCATAATTGAGAACTTGAGGCTTCCTAAATTCAACTGAAGCATCATAATGAGGGCAACAGTCATCATATATTTTTTATTTCTAGAAAGCCTGTCAAAGATCTGCTCTAGCCGTGAAAAAAGACAGTTTTTATTATATTTCAACAAATTTTAATATTAAGCATCTTCGATTAGTTTTCTCCATATATAGAAGAAATCTTTTTTCATCATAAAGATGAGAACATGCTTTGTGTTTACTCCGTTCAAACAGAAATGGGATAGGTCATTAAGGTTTTGCACATAACTGAGTAATAAACTTGATAGCAGTAGAGTTGATGTGCTATAAACTTGGATCTTATCATAGTATGTCAAAAATTACTTGTGAAGAGTAGAAATACAGTAAAACCTTGTTGTTATGCCACCCGTTAAACTGCCAAACCCGCATACCGCCATTGATTTACTCAGAACAGATTTCCCAAGCGTAAATGCACTTGTTGTTACGCCAAACCTGCATACCGCCATAATATTCCCAAAACAAATGGTTAAAATCACACTATTTTGACCTTGTTAAATACTGCCAATTTGAGTCCAATACCGGTTTTATCCCGACGACAGGGATGTTCACGTGACTGCCGACTGACCAGGTAATCAACTGTATGTTTTGCACGCTCAACAACTTCAGTTTGTGTATGAACACTTGGGTTCAAAATAGAAAACCTGATATACCGCCAAACTTGTTATACTGCCATAATCACAGAGGACAGAAGGTGGCGGTATTACAAGGTTTTACTGTATATATCATTCAGCAAGAACATTTCAACATCAGGGAACAGCAATCACAAACCAATACTTACAGCGAGCCAGACACCTCATAGCAGACATGGCCCAGTGTGGTAACTGATCTGTGGAAATCATAAAAAACATTTTACAGTCTGGATTCTAAACTTTTTTGAAACAGTATATATATGAGAAGAGCAGTTATCAAAAAAATTCCAAGACAGCAAGAGCAATGACACCAGCATCTATCTAACGATAATACAAAACCAAGCATTACACAATAATTTACAAACATACATCAATATCAGTGTCAACATCAAATCAAAACCTTCATTTCAACAAACTTATATATCAGAGTATCTAAGCATAGTCTTAAGAGATGAGCCCAAACAGGGAATAGATACTACAATAACACCAACTATTCTGTCCAATAAACCATCATCTGTCACTAAGTAACACGTGTTACATTTGGTGTTTACCGGTAGTCACTAAGTAACACTTGAAACATTTTTTTTTTTATTTAGTCGCTATGTCACACTTTAAACATTTGGTGTTTATTTTAGTCACTATGTGACATTTGTTTATGTTGATGATCATTTTTAACACATTAAGTTTTAATGTTGGTCACTACTTCAAAAGTTTGTTACCTTTCGGGTCAATGTTGGTCACTATTCCACTTTTATTGAGGTAGGTACAGTTGTGCATAATGTTCATCCCCAAAACAAAACTACTGTCCAATATCTCCGATAAATTGTCCAGGTTTAGAACAGACTGTAGTCTACAAAGAAAAATGGAATTTATTACTGTTTTGAAGTTCATATTTACCGTATTCACTTAATTAGCACCCTTGCCCTTTTCCCAGCAATTTTTGAATGCTATAAGGACCCCCTTTCAGGATCAGTCCCAAATACTCTCTGAGAATAGATTTTTATAAACCCTGGGCACTAATTACAAAGAATATGGTATGAAATAAAAATGTAAGTTCATGGTAACCTTGCAAAATATCTTCACTTTTACTAAATGTCAATGGGAGGACATCATCAAATCAGACAATAATCACCAGCAAATTACCTGTTCTAGCTATAAATGTACTGTATAATAATAATACGTTTAATTACTATTGTTATTATGCTTATCTGAACCTTTAAAAGAAAGTCAAGCAAGCCAAGATTTTACAACATAAGATTTTGGTGGTATACAGAGCCAAACTTATATAGACTAACATGACTTTAGAAGCAAATGTGGCTGGACTAGCAAGGTTTTACAATAACATCAGAATTATGGTAAATGTTCCTGGAGACAAAAAAAAAATCTAACTAGAAAAACATTTCATCAATAATTAGATAATCATGCAGGTGGCCATGAAAGGGAAGGGACACAACTATTACTGAGTCACAGACTGTGTGCTGTACAAATTATTGATGAATACCTGTCTAATGTCATGTGTTTCCAAGTATCATGTATGTCTGCTGCTGAGAGTTGTTTAGCCACCAGCTGGCAATAAGGTACCGACTGAGGAGGCTGTGAGGCTGGATTTAGTTCCGCTTGGTTCCGACAGGGAGGTGGCGGTGGCTGTATGTGACATGACTGCCTCTGATCTTTGGGCTGTGCAGGAACATAGCAGGGAGGGTAGGTTCCATGACTATCCCCTGGCTTGACTGGATTTGTTACCTGATTGCCGTCAGTATTTATTAAGTCCTTCCTGTCTGTGAAAGGTACACGGTTCTTCACAGGAGACATAAGTGTAAATCTGTAAAAAAATATATAAAAAATAGAAACGTTGTACATGCCATTTGTCGTTGTCTTTTAACCTTTAGAGTATATATATATATATATTAGAAGTGTGTTAGTTCATAACGGCTTGAGGTGGTATACTTTGTCATAAAAATTTTCTCATCTATAAAATGGACAAGACTAGCATCTCTTTTTTACCTGTAGGGTTCATTATACATGTACTCAAAATCTGAATTTGATTTCTAATACAAGGCAGAACCTACACAGATCTTAAAACTGATGACAAAACTGGCATAGCCCCTGGAATTTCATTGACGACAGTTAGATATTTGTAGGATTGGCCATTTTCTAAGGAACATATCTTTTATTCAAATGTTATATCATTTTGTGCTTTACAATGGAATTTGTCTATACACTACCTGAAGAGTCGGCCATTGTCTGTAGGGTCATGTTTGTTGTGTTTTCCACCTCTGACATCTTCAATTACACGGGCTCTGTGTAGTTTTCGGAATAATTGCAGAGTTTGAAATCTGGCCAAGAAAAAGAAATTCACATTTTTACAAAGCTTGTACATTCTCACAAAACCTTGTTCATAGTGTACTGTAATTTACAATTTTAAGGAAAATATCGTTATTCTGGAACAATCATAATAGTCAATTCAATATGACAAAGAGTATTGTTGTTATGACAAAAATTTACACAATTAAATTTTATTGCATTTTTCAGTGACAAATTTTATTGCAGTTTTAATATTACAATTCCCATTGCAATATATATATATATATATGAGTACATTATTTTTTTGTCCAAACTGGACAAAAAAAAAAACATTTGTTTTTTAATTATTCTCTCTTTTAAAAATAATATCAATACGGATACATATATAATTTAATGTCTACAGTACTAGTAAGTATAGCTCAATCATGTATATATTATATACCAAAAAAAATATTTTGTGAAAAATTGACTTTTTTTTTATACAAAATAAAAACCAAATTTAAAATGGTAAAAACACTTGGTTTTACCCCAATGTTTAAAGACGGCCTCATGTTACTTGGGGAAGGGGTACATAATCTTTAAAAAAAAAAAAAAAAGGGAACAGAAAATAAGACATATACCAATTTCAAAATACAATGAAAAAAAAGTATTGATTGATAGTTGAAATAGATTATTTATTGTACCTATAAAAGTTCTTAAAATTGTTTTTACACAGAGGAACTAACTGATCAGATTCAAGAATAAAAGGTACACATAATCTTAATGATATTTGTATATTTAAATAATATTTTGTGTACATATGTACACTGTATGTTTATAAACTCATCATATTACATTCAATATATTTTTTAAAATCTTATTATTTTTTCAATTTCAGATGCATCATTCAAAATTAAATATATATATGAATAGCATTATTCTGTGACAGATTGTAATCAGAGTTAGTTGACATATATTGCCTTGAGCTAAAGGAAACAATTTAAACTTAATCCAATTGCAATTGGCTATAATACTTATACCCTGCAGGTATATTCATTTAAACACTTCTTACACAGTGAAAAGCTTGGTCTTATCTAAGTCATTTATGATAATGATCTTCCAAATCCTTTATTGGTAAACATACACACCACATGGTTCAATCCTATTTTTTTTCACCTGTATGTATACCTGAGAGATCACAGGTATTTGTTTACCTGGCATCAGCTGGTGTTGTGACATGTGTGTAAACAGCTGGTGGCCAGTACTAATTTGGCAGTGGGCAACAGATGTATAGTGTGAGCGCAATCAAAGTCTAACTGACATAATGTAACACTAAAGTGACATTTTAAACAGTCTTACCAATGTCATAAGGAATGGTGACAACAGCTTCCTTTGCATTATCAAACCAAAAATGCACTGTACACATACAATATTATTTTTACTATATTTAGATTAATTATCAGTTATGACTATATCCAGTAAGACTTCTTTAACAAAAAAAAAAATGTTATATAAAAAAATAAGTTTTTAATAAATAATAACTCTTTTAGAAATAAAGGGACATTTTTTTCTAACACTTTTTAGAAAAATATATGATAATACAGGAATAGAAAGTTTTCAGCGGAGGAATTCACCTTGTGACATCGGAACCAAAGTTAGGATTGGCCCGTAGGTATTGGTGGAGCCAATCAATGGATTCATTAGCTGAAAAGCAGGATTCGTAAGTCTTCATGTATCTTCTGTGACGGGCCACTGGCATTCCGCGACGAAAGGCCAGAATGACATCATTCCACTGAAATTTAACATTAAAAACTTTCTGATTACTCAAGCATTTAGCACATCAATAGTATTCCTCCAGTCATGAACTATCATTAGTAAGATAGCGATCTAAGCTATTGTTATACATCAATCACTTTATTGGCTGTACAATGCAGGCTGAGACTTGAATGAATGCCTTGGGATTCTTTGAAATGGGTTCACCTTTATAGCTTCAGGGTGGATAAGATATATCTTAAAATCGATCATTGGAATGTAAATATCACATCAATGGCATTCAGATCCATAGGCTAGATATATATATACACTAATAATTGGAGTTTAAAATTCCAAGATATGACCCTTTTGTTTTTCTTTTATCGATTCATGTCAGAGTTATATCAACAACAAACAGAATAATAAATGTAATTTCTATCAAATAGTGGAAGTATTGATTTTAACAATATTGATTATCATATAGAGGATGGTGCGTCATTGGGATGAAGGGAAATATATCTGGAGATATTGTATTTTCTCTTCATCAACCCATCAATTAATATCATAATGAACATGTTGGATAACTTAGGAAGGTGGGGCTCTGGGGGCATTTTTTTTTACCACGGGTTGATAATCCAGATAAAATCGCAGGACCCAATAAATCATAATACTTAATAGAAATAACCCCTAACTATACTTTTATTTTTTTAATATTTTTTTAATATTTAACAATTTACTAATATGATCAGACAAATATGTTCAGCATACAGATATATAAACGATGATTCGCCTTAACGCTAGCTTAATGTATTGACCTTTTTCCTTATAGATGGACGGGAATGGGATGGAGTGTGGCGAGGCCAAATACAGATTTGGTGGGATTTCAGAGGAGATATTACGGTAAATTTCAAAAAGTATTGTTGTCGGCGACAGCATCCTCATTAGATCGTATAAATATAAAACTACATAGTGAGAAGCAGCCATGCATTTACAAAGGTATACAATGCTGGTTAGGACTGAATAATTGATCATTGTGACACAGCTGATTGATTTACAAGTATCATGTTTAAGGCTTGCAAGTAGCTGGTAACATTATTCGAAACTAACAGCATATCTTCCGCATAAATATACAACACTCACCAGTTTTGTGGCTCTGTATGGTCCAGAAGCTTGGACACCCCTGTCCGTGGAATAGCCTTCCATCATTGTTGTCTGTTGGCACAAATTGTTGTTTTTTCACATCTTGGAAGAAGCACCTGCCAGTATCAACAAACCCATGCTTCGTTTCAAATCTCGGGTGACATTTTGATTGGCCAAATTTTAATTGACGCGATATGATTGGCTCCTTACAAAAAAGCTTAGCTTTCGGATAACCTCGGGCAAATGAATCCGATGCCTTCCGATAAAAGTGACACTTCCCACTTCCGACAAGATGGCCGTAATCGAAGGTCCACTTAGCAAGTGGACAAATGTCATGAAAGGATGGCAATACCGGTGGTTCGTTCTAGACGAGAGCTCTGGCATATTATCATATTTCACTGTAAGTCCAATCGAATGCGACTCACAACAGTTCCTGTAACCGGCACTGGACGTGATTACATTAAGTCATTTCGTCCCTAAAATAAACTCCATTTTTCGATGGACAGAACATTTTTATAAGCGGCAGTTGTGTAAACGAAATGTGTGTCACTGTATGTTTGAAAGTATGCTTGGGATTTTTTTTACCTTAGGTTATATTACCCTATTTTGATTTGCCACAAAGATCGATGTAACATAAAAAAGATGAACTGTTTTATTTGGGACGATTTGTCTGAATCCACCACAAGAACACAACTAACTTCAACTGTATTTGTTTTTGTGTTTCTTCAAAGACACTTTTAGACAGCAATGCAAATTTCATCTTCAGTAGTTTCTCGAAATGTCCCATTTAAAATGTTCCTCTCAGAGTTTTCACCAAGGTATATAGTTCTAGAATTTCCTATTTAATTATATGCTTACCTGTCAAGTCGGTGGTGAATATTTAGAAAAAAATGACAGGAATGTAATATAAAGACACTGGGATGAGTGACCATCAGTGACCAGGTAGATCAGTTGTTTAGAGTGTTCCATTAGAGTGTGGAGGTCAAGCATTCTAATCCTGGTCAAACTGAGTAGCACATTATCACATTTTCCCTCTCCTATATATCACAATTAAAGTAATTGGAAAGTAAAAAATGCAACTGCCAGACAGGCAAGTCAAAGATTCGAAACAAGGACATCTGAACTCCAGATCGATCACCAATGACCGACCCACACTAGTTCAAAGTCTTTAATGTCTTAAGACACACAATCCCCCTATACCACCATGATTGTATATTTTATTTGGATACCAAATGTAACACAAGGGGGAAAATGCAATAGTCAGACAGACATTGATGTACGAGGTGAAACTTATTTGGGTAGATTGTAGACTACTTGAGACTAGTTATCACAATTGGATAAAGTACCCTTTCAGTCTAGAGATTAGAGGATGAGAGTTTGAATCCCAGTCTGGCTGATGCAGTCTGCGACGTTAGGCACTAGTCCGATGCCCACGACTAGTAAATTTTAGTCTGGACTTGTATTGAAAATATTTAACTAGTCCGACTGGACTAGTGGCAATTTTCCTCCAAAATAATGGAAATATTATTAATGGTATATATTTTGCACTATAAAGCTTGTCACAAGATCTAATACTATTGTAAAATATGGTATTTGTCGAAGCTTCAAAGTTTCGATGAGCGATTGTGAGACTGGATTCCGGATTTTAGTAGTTACCAAACATTACATCCTGTTTATAACCACGTGAAACCAACCATGGCGATGTTGCTAAGTTGGAGGAAAGGTTCAAAACCAGCTAAGCCTGTCCGTGAACAGACTGAAAAAATTGCTCCAACAAGAAAGAAAAATTTACGGTTCTGGCTAAGTGCTCAAAGGCTCGATGGAAACAACAGTAATACTGTATTAGAGATAATTGGCAATCACGTTCCGTGCTCCGTTTCTTAAGTTAATTATTGAGAGACATTTTGTTTCGATTTCTAATAATTTTCCAATTTAGATCACAATTTACACTTCATGCTGTAAAAAAGACCAGTCTGTAATTTGGACTAGAAAATTCACAGTTGGACTATTAAAATTATGGGTTCACTAGTCCAAATGACTAGTAAGGAAAATAGTTAATGTCACAGACTGCTGATGCATTTTTCCTTTCTTCTTGCACATGTATCGATTTGGTGATTCTTAATCTATCCCTGACTTATTATGGATGGTTGGAAAGTTATGAATGTATTAGAAATGGTAACAAGTTAAAGCTTTTCTGCAACACTTTGTGGTTAATCACTGTAAACGTAATATTAGCACTTAATTGGAATGTCTGTATCGCAAATACTAATTAATGTGTTGTCATTACGTATACCAGTATGTGTACCTGAATATAGTATTTTATTTATGTTTCAGTCAAAAGAGAAGATGATGCGTGGAGCCAGACGAGGCTGTGTGAGACTCAAGGTCTGATCTAAATTCCACTCTCACAGTGATTAGGGAACTGTACATGTGGTATTGATAAAAAGACATCAATCAGTACATCTTTCATTTATTCATGACAAACGTCACTTGTGTATTTTAATTTATAGATCAAAGATGTCTTTCTTTTTTTCACATTTGAGTAAGCTACTAATAAGCTAGCTACATATTGTTTGAAAAAGTAACCTAGTAATTTTCAATTGGTTGAAAGTTTGATTTTTCAAATAGATTATTTATTGCTTTATTTAGGTCATCTGAGACAAAGTCTGATGTCCAACCTTAAACATTTTTTTTGCATTTTTGACTTATACTCAAAAATTGCTGAACAGATTTTAATGAAATGATGAAGCATGAATTATATACCCAAGAGGTAGTTCCAGCCCTAGAGGTCTGAGGGACAGTACCAAAAGCAAATTCAGCCAAATCTTCACGAATAACAACGAAAATCAATTGTACTACAGCGTAGCTCAGGTGATCATTATCTAATTAGCACCTGTTTGTTACTAATAACTGTTTTTGTAGGGAGCAGTAATCGGAATTGATGATGAAGATGACAGTACATTTACCATAACAGTGGACCAGAAAACATTCCATTTTCAAGGTTTGATAACAAAAACTATTTATCACATACTCAGGCTGTCATATGGTTGATTACCATTTGGTATTACAAACCTGCTCATGCAACCACGTAATTAAGGGACCACATGCACCTGTGTTAAGAGACCAGTGTATTATGATATATTCCTCATTTTAGAAATTTCATTGTGATATGAAACTGTATTAAGGTAATAGGATTGTGTCACCATTTCTCAGTAGAATTTCTTCAAATTTTGTAGTTATATTGCTTTGAATTAAAGAAAATGTTCTACCACAAAAAAAATAAAGGTTGTCAGAATTTTAAGGATTTTAAAAGGAAATTTATGTAAAAAGGAGTGAATTTTGAAAAAAAAATGAAAGACACAATATTTTCAATATTTTGCAAAATAATGTCAATAACAATGATACTGACATAGATTAGTATTGCATTAATGTATGTCAATTTAATAAATGCTGAAATTGTGTAAAATTAATTATCTATAAACAATTAAAAATTGACATTTTATGATAAAACCATATACACATAGTAATTGCATGTAAGAGTTATCGTTCTTGAAAAACTTCACAGTAGTGAAATAGGTAGCCGGTTTCCTGAAGTACAGAAAAATGGACACATGTGACTCATTGATAAAAAACAACTGAATTAATGCCTGGATTGCTTTGAAATACTTTAATATTGAGAGAACACACTGTTCTGTCAATAACAGACATACAATATTCATCAGTTTAATATTAAACATTAGAATGTGCGGAAATTGTGATACTGTCTCCCTACATTGGATTTTCAACTAGGGATGTACTTCCTATTTCCGTTTATCAATACACTCCAATGACCTTAAGAGACCACATGCATTAAGAGACCTTTTTTTGTAATTTCCCAAGAATGGTCTCTTGATAAAAGTTTGATTTTAACATAAGAACTGAACATAAAGTTTTGAATTGTTGTGTATATAGTAACAGCCATATGTATTTTGACATCCCAGCAATTCAGGCTTGATAACTAAAGTCAACAGTTGCTGTGATATCAGGGGTTTTCCTTTGCTCATACTGGTCTAATTTGTCATTTTGAATGATTTTGTGATGATGTAATTTAAATTATTATTTTTTCATTGAATATGATATTCATAACTCACTAGAGATTTTTGAAATGCTATGAGTGTAAATTGTTTAAAATGATGTATATCTTTGAAAAAATAATTCCAAACAAAATGAAAATATTAATTATTGTGTTTTCATGAATATTTATTTGGATTTACAGAATTTTGTGTGTACAAAAATGCTTTATGATTGTATTAAATTTCGCCTGAACTCTTAAAATGAAGTTTTAAAACTCTTTAGCTCGAGATGCTGATGAACGTGAAAAGTGGATACAGGGCCTAGAGAATGCAATACTTCGACATTCTCATACCCACAAGGTCAGTGTGTACTTTGTAAAAAGAAATGTTATGACAACATTGTTCAATATGCAATCTATGTTTTTATTCCCAAAAATCGAGATCCAAGGATACCATAATGTCCATATGAGAAAAATTGGTATGCATTATATTTTTTAGCTCACCTGGCCCGAAGGGCCATGTGAGCTTATGCCGTACTGTGGCGTCCGTCGTTCATCTTTCGTCCATCAACTTTTTCTTTTAAATGACTTCTTCTGAAAAACTGGAGGACATAGGGTCATGATATTTGGCCAGTAGGTACCTGGGATGGTGTGCTATAAAATTTCCTCATTAAAATGACCTTGATCTACTTTCAAGGTCACAGGGCTCAAATTATTATGTTGAAAACTTAAAACAACAATATCCTAAGAACCATTTGGACTAGAGACATGATACTTAGGTATGCTATGTAGACCTGAAGTGCAAATCTTTTTCTTACTTACAGTAATGAGGTCAAAGGTCAACTTTAAGTGCTAGTCGGGGGTCAAATGTCAACATGGGTTAAAAGCTTTAACAATCTTCTTCTCAAATTCCATAAGGCCCAGGGTCATAATATTTGGCCAATAGGTACCTGGGATGGAGTGCTATAAAGTTTCCTCATTAAAATGACCTTGACTTTCTTTCAAGGTCACAGGGCTCAAATATGTTAAAAACTTCAAACAACAATATCCTAAGAACCGTTTGGACTAGAGTCATTATACTTGGGTATGTTATGTAAACCAGCAGTGCAAATCTTTTCTCACTTACAGTAATGAGGTCAAATGTCAACTTTAAGTGCTAGCCGGAGTCAAAGGTCAATGTGGGTTAAAAGCTTTAGAATTACAATTTCAAATTTCAATCAATAATATCTTGAGAAGCGTTTAAGAGATGTTAAAATGTCTTGTGTTCTAGTTACCAAATTTGGTCTGAAGTTACCTATATGTCAGTTTCATGTAACAAAAATAACAGGTGAGCGATACAGGCCCTCTGGGCCTCTTGTTTATTCCCCAAATCGAACTCCAAGGTGAAAACGTAATGGCAACAATGTCTCTCCAAGCTAACATCCAATATTAAAAAGTTAAGAGGCTTTAATAACACAAAGACATTAAAAACCAGTAGATTTATTTTATTAACATGTATGTATAATTTTGTGTGTTAATGGTTTCATTTCGTTGAACGAAAAGTTTCAAGAGAATTCAAGAGAATGTCCAACTGTCCTGTTTCATTTTTTGCACAACATCATCCTCGATATCCAGGGGTTATGCTCACTTTCGCTCTCTACACCCCTGGAATACGTCATAGCAAAATCAAAGGCTCAATGGTGCAGCACCTTGTGGTTAAGACAAGAAGACTAGGTTGGTCCTTTGATGTACATCAAAAGAATCTTGCGGTCGTTTTACGGTAAAAAATGACAGGCTTTGAAGTCGGGCATTGCTTCTTTGTATTCTTTAAAGGACAAGTATCAGCCTAGTGATTGGTCAGTTTTTTTTACCTGACACCAATCAAATAGCTAGCCCCATGTCTACATGTTTGCTATGACATATTCCAGAGGTGCAGAGAGCGAAAGTGAGCATAACCCCTGGATATCGAGGATGGTACAATAGTAGTTGAGGGGAAAAGTACCTGCTGTTACCCCCTGCAACTAATGAGGAACTCTTTTGCAAAATTAGGGATTTTCTTTCCTCTACTGAGGGACACACAAGTGACCAGAATAAACCTGATACATACACCCATTGCAGCATTTTGGATATTTCTGTTCATCGCTTTCCTTAGTTGGCATTATCTATCTTGCTTGGTATTGAGCATTTGCCCAGTAGGGAAGATTATGTGCTCTGGCCCTTGACCCAAGACAAAACAAAGTTGTTAGAATTTATTTACTCCCTTTTACTGGATGTTCAGTTTTAAATGTATATAAGAAAGGATTGGGTTTATATACATGAAACTGTTTTCATGCTCAAGCATGGATTCTGTGCTCAAACCTGCTTTCATGTGTAACTCAATTAAATCATGTCAAACAATCAAAAAGTCAACCCTAAACATTACAAAAGTATTCGGCTTTAAGTCCCTACATTTTTTTTCTAAAATCATTGAAAAAGTAAGATTTTAAAAATTGATTTATAACTAAAACAAGAATTGAGGCTTGAGCACAAAATTCATGCTTGAGCATCAGAATGGTTTCATGAATACAGGCCTTGGTTATCCCTTTGTCAGTATAATGAAACTGGGCAGAGTGTTGTGATACTATGTCCAGGTTATAATATTTCAATGAGATGACACTTTTAAATGACCGTTGATTGGCCGTAATATATCTGGACACAATCTTCTTAGGACGTCAGCTGTTGCAAAGGCGTTAAAAAGTATTTGAGTTGTAATTATTGCCGTCTTGTTAGATGTCATTAAAGGTTTGAGGTATAATTTTTTTTCAGAAACATGAGCCAAAAACTGTCCCTACAGCTGCCGATTTTGACAGAAAACTCGCCGAAACTGATGCTTATTTACAACTTTTAATTGGCCAAGTACAGGTAATGTTTTCTGCTTCATACGAGGAACAGATTCAAATTTGTAGATGAATTTAGTAACCTTGAAAACGATGAACATATTAAGTATGTTTTTAAAGAAAATTGATATATTATGTAGCATACAAATAATCTGTGACTAAATTACAAAAAAATATATTTTGATTATAAAAAAAAAATCCAATACAAATATTGAGGTAAATTATATAGTTTGCTTTTGTTCTGCATATTATGAATAAAAAAAATCAAAGAAGCTCTGAAGAGCAATAAATGATTATAACTTATACAGTGATACTCTTTATACCTTTAATGGACTAGGGTAGATACATTTTACTTGTTTCAATAAATCAAGGTTACAGCTATTAAATTGATCTTTAAAATACTGCATTTGAATTCCTATTATAGCAAAAGAAGAATTAATCTGCACACTTTGACCTTAATACATCGTTTTTTGCCTCAAATAAAGACTTTTTCTATATCCAGACGTTACAGACGAGGATTGATGCTTGTGAAGATGTGGCTGCCAAAGAAAAGTATAACGTGCTTAAAGTGACTGCTGAGGTATCGACAGTTCTAGCCTTTTTTTTATTCTTAAAATTCAGTACTGTTTGAATTCATTTTTGGGAAAAAGATAGACCCAACAGTTTGTTTTATATTTAACATCATTGTTGCATGTTCACAATATACAAAAATTGACAATTCTAAGTGAACTTGCATTTTTAGCATTTTGCCACAATTTCAGTATGCTTCAAATAATGTTATTAATAGCTTTGAGTCAATCACTCGTGTAACTTAACTTACAGGAGGGCCATTTTGTCAATACCAGTATCGTTTATTGCCAATACAAGAAACCAATAATTATTTTGGATCTCTTTAATTAAATGATTACAGCTACATTATGTATATTTTAAGAATGAAGATGTACAGATTGAATGAATTAAAAAGTTAAAAAGAAATATTTTAATAGTGTTCAATACATGTATTTGAGTTATTCTGGATGTCATTTCAAGAAAAAAAACTATTGTGATGCATTAAATTTACCCTAAATGCACTGCCGTTCTGAAATATGTCTGTTCAGACTGAATGAGTTTTGATTTGAGTTATTCGCAGCGATTTCTGATTGCAGGCAATGATAGAAGCTATAAAGCATGCCATCATGATGCTGCAGATAGCGAAGGTAGGCCCACCAGAAAATAAAGACGAGGTATTTGTTTTTTGAAACATTTGTAGCGAGGACTAACAACACGTATAATCAGTTTAACTGGAAATCACAGTAATTGGTTTGTATACAAGGTTTCTGTGTAAAAATAACGAAAACCTAATAATGTTCAATGTTTAATTTGGATTTAAATGTGAAATATGTACAATAAAGTGATTTACAGTTGTGTAATATTAACCTGCTTTGTGGTAAAGGGGAAACTTTATACCAGTTATGACACTGTGGTAAAGGGGAAACTTTAACCTGACTGTATACCAGTTATGACACTGTGGTAAAGGGGAAACTATAACCTGACTATACCAGTTATGACACTGTGGTAAAGGGAAACTTGAACCTGACTGTATACCAGTTATGACACTGTGGTAAAGGGGAAACTATAACCTGACTATACCAGTTATGACACTGTGGTAATGAGGAAAATTTAACCTGACTATACCAGTTATGACACTGTGGTAATGGGAAACTTTAACCTGACTGTATACCAGTTATAACACTGTGGTAATGGGAAACTATAACCTGACTATACAAGTTATAACACTGTGGTAATGGGAAACTTTAACCTGATTGTATATCAGTTGTAACACTGTGGTAATGGGAAACTTTAACCTGATTGTATATCAGTTATAACACTGTGGTAATGGGAAAATTTAACCTGATTGTATATCAGTTATAACACTGTGGTAGTGGGAAACTTAACCTAACTATATATCAGTTATAACACTGTGGTAATGGGAAAATTTAACCTGATTGTATATCAGTTATAACACTGTGGTAGTGGGAAACTTAACCTAACTATATATCAGTTATAACACTGTGGTAATGGGAAACTTAACCTAACTATAAATCAATCATAAAACTGTGGTAACGAGGAAACTTGAACCTGACTGTATACGAGTTATAGCACTTCGGTAATTGTAATGAAATAATCCAATATGGCTACAAAGGAATTTCATTGGCTGATAGCTAATTACCCATAAATGAAACTCTTTCATGTAATGGACGGGTGCAATTTTTGAGCTGTTTTTCTCTTACTGCAAAAAGATATGCCATTTTATTGTAACAGTTATGATATCCTGTCCTGTGTTTGGATTAGCCTTGGTTCCACTTTGGAAACTTGTTTATATATTATAAGGGTACGTAATATAAAAAAATAGCACTTGTTAACATTGAAATCAAATTCAATATTATTTATGGAAAAATATGATAATTTTAGTTACTTAAAATAGGGTAAGCCAAGTATAAGCTATACTATATCAAATTTGTAATTTAAAGTTTCTTATAAATCAATAATATTTGTAATCTCTAAGTTCCAGAGAGTTTCAAAAATACTGATTGATTAATTTATTTATTTGACAGGAAAGTTTGAAGGGTCCAGTGATGAATGGGACAATGCATGAGCCAGTTCTCACCACAGGTGCTGATTTTGACCATTTCGGTCGGAGAGGTATTCTACTAATAACCCTTAACAACTAGAAACAGGTGGAGGTATTCCTTAGGATGGTGTTGCACTGTAACATGTGGGCAGCCACCCATCCAGTCACTGACCATGCATGCTTTGTGTTGCTGAACTAGTGAGTGGGTCCGGGGTTATACGGCAAAGCTTGAAAAGCTCTGATCACGCTTGACATTGCTGAACTAGTGAGCATGCCCTAGGGTTGTACTGTAAAGCCAGAAAAGTCCTGACCACGCTTGACATTGCTGAACTAGTGAGCACGCCCTAGGGTTATACTGTAAAGCGAGAAAAGCTAGCTTGCCACTAAGGCAGTATTTTCCTCTCTTATTCATTGGATTTTACACTCTCCCCCCGCCCCCCTCTGAGAAGTCTCATCCTGATACTTGGTCTTGGGAACTCCCTTGGGTCCTCCTTGTGTATCAATTCTTATCACACCACCTGGAGCTAGCCTTAAACGGTACCAAGGGGTTTGGAGGTAGCCGAGTTTCCTCACGCCCTGACAGCAGACTTAGACATTTTGACAGATAAATGTCTAGTGTCAGGGGCCAGAGTGCAATCCTATAAGAAAACAAGGAATTCTCCAACACCGCTTGGTATCGGAGAATTATGAGGTGCTGACAACAAAAATCTACTACGATACAACACATACCTCACATATATCGATAAATGGGTTATTTATTGTTACCAACAGTTGCTACATTCCGTAAGTAGAGTCCTTGGTTTTCATTTGTTCAAATGTTTCCACCTAAGCAACACCATTTTGTAGATTATGCAAATTACATTGGAGTGACTAATCAACAAACCGTACTGATCCAAACCAAAAACGGAATATATATTATTCTTGTTTAGGAGATTTCCGGACTGCCTCTTCTTGTTGATTAGCCACTGACCACATTCATTGTTGCTGAACTAGTGGTTGGGTCACAAGGTAATATGCACATTACTGGAAAAGCTCTGAGTGTGTTAATGATGCTGAACTAATGGGTGGGTCACAGGGTTGAACTGCATCACCGGAAAAGCTGTTTCAGTGGTGTGATATACCCCGGGCGCCCTTCGACACGCTCACAAGATAGCAATGGCAAGTATGGAAAGTGGATGGAAGGGGTAACACTAACTTATAACTAGACATACGTTTAGACGTCACTCAGGGTAAGGTCACACTAACTTATAACTAGACATACGTTTAGACGTCACTCAGGGTAAGGTCACATGTTGTAACGTGTAGAAATCTATAGCTTTCTTCTTCATTATGTTTGCTGTGTTTCTTTACATTAGAGTTTAAACTTGAGCTGTTAATAATTGTAGAACACCAGAATTTCATTAGAAGTGTGTTTTTGCTAGGCAAAGTCTTTGATATATAATGATATTAGATTAATTTTATACAGCTTTTGGGGTTTTTGCAAGATTTCCCGACTTCATATTCTTCCCTTTTTGAGATTTTTATATATATATAAAAATGTTGGATATTTTTCACATTTGTTTCGTTGAGAATTTACATTTAGAGGGAATCATGTCACCTATTTTATACAAGAACTGATACCTATATGAATTCATTAAAGCTTTGAATTCATTGTTAAAGGTTACATATATTTATTCCTAGCATATTGCACATATCAACTGTGTAAACATGTACTACTGTATAATTATCATTGTAGTTTAACTTTGCCTTTTCCTCCCTACATAATAAAAGTGGAATTCACAATATTGAAATTAATCAAACAGCATACTTACTATACATAGTAATAACATGATAACGGCAAGATTAGAGTTGTCACGATACACTTTACCCACAATTCGATACGTATCTCGATATTTGTACCACGATTCGATTATTTCGATTCGATACACCTTCATTTTAAAATATAAACAAAATGAGATATATAAGCCGTCGATACACGCAAACCCACAGTGTTTCCACACTTTTGGTTTGAAGCTTGCCGGAGTATCACAAATTTTAATTTCCTTACGGCAGTCCGCCATTTTTGTTATGAATGCTTTGTGAAAATTGCATCCTCGCAGCCAATTGGTTGAGGGTTTAGAGATCAGCCAATGCAATTGAACATCTCATAGTCATTTTGGCTGAAGCGGCATACAATAATATTTGGATCGTGACGCATCGAAAATCCGGAAAAATATATCGTGAATCGAATCGAACATAAATAATCGCAGTACAAGTGCATCGCAGTGAATCGTGACACCTCTAGGCAAAATCAACACTCCGCAAAAAATTGATTCCACCAGTGAAAGGCGAAAGTTTGACTAAACAAAAGTTTCCCTGTAGACAGTATATACTAGTTATACTATATTATACATTTCAAATACCGGTATGTATATTATTGAATTTTGAACAGTAAAACTGGTGCTGATAATTAGGTGATATGTAACCTTTTTAAGCTTTGTTAAGTACCTGAATCAGTGAAAAAATTAAGTGACAATTTCTATTCCATTATCAAGGTGGAATAATGAAACAATATATTAACTCATTCACCCCTGAAATTTCATAATGAACTATTCCAACCTTTGAATTGGAAGAGTTGAAATGTGTCTTCAGGGGTGAATGAGTATAAGCAAACGTCATCAATGAAAGAAATCCAACATAACATTCATATTGTAAAAGTGGAATTTTTTCTAGTGTTGAAATGCTCGTGTTTTAGCATCGAGTAAATTAGTATGAAAAATATCATCAGTCAAATATTGATTAATAGATCATATAGATGATATACACTGTGTATATATTCTATATATACTTAGAACCATTGCTAAAATTTCCTCACAGCGATCAGCTTTAACCCTTTCACTCCTAGGTCACTTTAGTAGACTCTACCATGCATTTATGGGGGTGAGTCCATTCTTGTTTGTGGTGGTGAAAAGGTCACAATAAGAACATGTTCAAATAGGAGAATTTCCACTTTTACATTTATAATGTTTATTAGACGTGCCAAGTTGTGTTTGTTTGCAGCAGGCCAGAGGGCTAATTCACTTTATAGTGGGATTCCTGCCTCCCTGTCCGCAGAGAGCCTAGACCTCAACTCCTCTCTACCTCCGCCTGGCTCCTCTACCAGCACTCCTCTCACAGGGGGTATGTCTCAGACCCCCCTCTCTTCTCCAGTCACAACACTTACCCTCTACAAACACTTCTCACAGGGGGTACATCTCACACACCCGTCTCTTCTCCACTCACAACACTTATCCTCTACAAACACTTCTCACAGGGGGTATGTCTCACACCCCTCTCTTCTCCACTCACAACACTTACCCTCTACAAACACTTCTCACAGGGGGTACGTCTCACACTCCTCTCTTCTCCAGTCACAACACTTACCCTCTACAAACACTTCTCACAGGGGGTGTGTCTCACACCCCTCCCCTCTCTTCTCCACTCACAACACTTACCCTCTACAAACACTTCTCACAGGGGGTTATGTCTCAGACCCTCCACTCTTCTCCAGTCATAACACTTACCCTCTACAAACACTTCTCACAGGGGGTACGTCTCACACACCCGTCTCTTCTCCACTCACAACACTTAACCTCTACAAACACTTCTCACAGGGGGTACGTCTCACACCCCTCTCTTCTCCAGTCATAACACTAAGCCTCTACAATCACATGACTTTCAGGGGGAATATTTGTCACACCCTTTTTTCCTGTCTCTCTCGATACATATAACTCCCACACATGCTCTCCAGTCACCATAACCCCTTAATTGACAACTACTACTCTCACGGTAGGGGAGACCTCTTACATCTAGTCTCCATTCACTGTTATCTCCTGCAAAACCTATTGTCAGGGATTACATTGCACATCTTCACTTCATTCACAAACACCTCTCTCTCAAGGGTTATGACTCTCACACCCTTCCCCCATTCACACAACACTTAATCAGTACCCTCGACAAATGCACCCGTCACCAGAGATATACAAAAGATATTCCCCTTGATTGTCATGTACGTACAATGTGCACTTTGATATTTTCCATTCTCTTCATGTCTCGAAACTCATTATTCATCATATAAGTTCATATACCTGGTAGCAATATCAATATATTTTACAATATGTTCCTCGGGTCAATTCTCCATAGGTTTCACAGCACATATTCTGGTCTTCTAAACGTACTTGAGAATCTGATGTATCACCTTAGTATGTAGTTGCTTTACCTACTAGGTAGGTGGTAAAGAAGGTGGTTAAGAAACTTTCCCCACATTTACAAATAAGTCTCTTGTCTAAAATGTTGCCAGAAAATATTCACTGAAAGTAAGGTTTTTCGAAATATTTTAGTCATGTTTTTATTTTTTTTCATGTAGACATACCTTTTTCGTCAAGCTCACTTTTAGACCTGCCATTGCCTTCTTTGCAGTTAGCAAAATAACAGTTATAGTTAGCAGAATGACAGTTATAGTTAGCAGAATGAGTTATAGTTTGCAGAATGACAGTTATAGTTAGCAGAATGAGTTATAGTTAGCAAAATGACAGTTATAGTTAGCAGAATGAGTTATAGTAAGCAGAATGAACAGTTATAGTTAGCAGAATGAGTAATAGTTAGCAGAATGAGTTATAGTTAGCAGAATGACAGTTATAGTTAGCAGAATGACAGTTATAGTTAGCAGAATGAACAGTTATAATTAGCAGAATGACAATTATAGTTAGCAGAATGACCAGTTATAGTTAGCAGAATGACAGTTATAGTTAGCAGAATGACAGTTATAGTAAGCAGAATGACAGTTATAGTAAGCAGAATAACAGTTATAGTTAGCAGAATGACATTTATATAGTAAGCAGAATGACAGTTATAGTAAGCAGAATGACAGTTATAGTTTGCAGAATGACAGTTATAGTAAGCAGAATGACAGTTAACGTTTGTGGTATGACAGTTATATTTAGTGGAATAACAGTTATAGATAGCAGAACGACTATCAGTTGTATGAAAATTATAATTTGCAGAATGACAAGTTTTGTTAGTGTTATGACAGTTATAGTTAGTAGTATGGCAGTTACAGTTAGTGGTATGACAGTTATAGTTAGTAGTATGACAGTTGTAGTTAGTGGTATGACAGTTATAGTTAGTGGTATGACAGTTGTAGTTAGTGGTATGGCAGTTACAGTTAGTGGTATGACAGTTACAGTTAGTGGTATGACAGTTGTAGTTAGTGGTATGACAGTTATAGTTAGTGGTATGACAGTTGTAGTTAGTGGTATGGCAGTTACAGTTAGTGGTATGACAGTTGTAGTTAGTGGTATGACAGTTAAAGTTAGTGGTATGACAGTTGTAGTTAGTGGTATGACAGTTATAGTTAGTGGTATGACAGTTATAGTTAGTGGTTTGACAGTTGTAGTTAGTGGTATGGCAGTTACAGTTAGTGGTATGACAGTTACAGTTAGTGGTATGACAGTTGTAGTTAGTGGTATGACAGTTATAGTTAGTGGTATGACAGTTGTAGTTAGTGGTATGGCAGTTACAGTTAGTGGTATGACAGTTGTAGTTAGTGGTATGACAGTTAAAGTTAGTGGTATGACAGTTGTAGTTAGTGGTATGACAGTTGTAGTTAGTGGTATGGCAGTTAGTGGTATGACAGTTATAGTTAGTGGTTTGACAGTTGTAGTTAGTGGTATGGCAGTTACAGTTAGTGGTATGACAGTTACAGTTAGTGGTATGACAGTTGTAGTTAGTGGTATGACAGTTATAGTTAGTGGTATGACAGTTGTAGTTAGTGGTATG